TTTTCTGAGTACGTGACTTCCTACTGATGTGTCATGATATTGCAACACAGATAGGTGGGAGTTGCCATTCTTGGCTCCAGAAATGGCATTTTCCCTGCCTCCTGATGTGTTTTTCATGCAGGGAATTTCAATCCTTTGAGACAGAAGCATAGGATGTGGCAACTGTATTTGTTCCAGCAGATCTTGATGATATCATAGCAAAGTAGAGTCTTCCTCTTGGTTCTCTTCATCATCGATTGCTGGATAAGATCTCTCTCCCTCCCTGCTTTTGTTTGTGCATTGTGGTTCTATTTGGCATACAGAACTTAGGGAAATGAGGATAAATATGCATTGGCTGTTCCATTGCCTGCACAGATGTATCCTGCCATATTACAAAGCTCCCTTACATCAAACCAGGAAACTGGTCCATCTTGAGCAAGATGATCTATTTTTCTTTGCATCACCTGCTCTTTGAGACAATGGCAGCTGCCAGTGACTGAATATGTAAACTCCTGCATATGTAAATCATCTGTACTTCCCTGCAATAGCTTCCATCTGGAAGGTGTTCTGAGGCAAAAGGTGCCTCCACTTCCTACTTTGGTATAAAAGGCCAGCCATTTCTATGAGCATCTTGGGCTTTCAGCCATATGGATTATGATAAGAGAAAAATGAAGAATTGTGCAATTCTTAACCAAAGGAATGAGAGTGCTGATAACAGTTGGAGCAAATGTGGAACAGTTGGAGCAAATGTGGTGGGTCCAACCTCGGGTACAAATGTGGACACAATTCTGCAGCATGCATGATAGTTGTATTGCGACACCCACAATTGATGAAACTGCAGCCCAATCACATTCAAAGGATACCAGATTGGTGACAGATGGTCTATTGATCCACTTTCAAGTCCTAAGTTTTGAACTGAGTGACCAAAGCAAGGCTGAAGACTACTCTAAGCCCCTGACAGAGCAATGCAACATTTGAAAAGCTTGAAGTAAATATTGTTGAGAAAATTTCAGCTGTGATTTATTAATCTGACAGCTCAGTGTTCACACTTCAAAACTAAGAAGGTTGAAGTTTGACCTTAACACTTACACCCCAAGGTAATATTGATTAGCTGGAAAAAGGCAAACCTGATCACATATTTCCTGTATGTTTCCACTTAATGTTCTGTGGTCCCAAAGTTCCAGAATGAGCTGGTTGACAGCAGTTTGATGTCATTCACCAGGTTCTTTCTAGACATTCTGGCCGCAGATGACAGCAAAGGTTAAAAATAAGCTTTCCATAAATAGATAAAGAGCCAGGACATCTTCCATAGAGACAATAGATCTATTCCAGCCTTCTGAATAAGACCTCCCCTGCCCCAACTTCCTATCATTTCCTGCCAGATTTTTAAACAAGCACCAGTCCTCTGAAATGGCTGGCTATTATTCTCAGGATTGGGTCACAGTTATATCCTTGGAAAGGTTTAAGCACTCAACTGCAGGATCATGATGAAGTCACCATTCATTTGAGAAATTATGATGAAAATGTTTTGGAATTTTTAAGTTTGGAAGGAGAAAAAGAATGCATGCACATTTCCTACAGTCCCTTGAGGCCTGATGAGAGTTGAAATCCAAACTATATGGATAGCAAAATTGCTTATCCCTTAGGTCGACCCAGTTAAATCAGTGAGCAAAGCAAAGAAAG